ATCACGTGCCTCCAAATTCCTTATTATTGGAACAATAACTGTTCTTACTCCTGGGCCTCATTGAATCAGAGTGACACTTGAAGTTTAAAGCGTTCTAACTAATTCATATCACTCTCATGAAAATTAGGAGTAACTACGTCTCCCTTCTTCTATGAGGGGAAGTCTGTGATAATGGAGAGAACAGAGGTTTTGGAGCTAATGACACTGCCATCAGTCTGAGTAAGCCTGGGCAAGTTTTTTAAATTTAGGAGTTTCAGTATCATTAACTGTAAAGTGTAGATAAGAATGGAGACTTCATAAGTGTGTTATTGTAAAAAATACAATTAAAACAATTTTGGTTATGTCACTTAAGTCTGGTATGCAGTTTGTACTCCAATGTTAACTGCCTTGCTTCCTCTCCTCCCCACGATCCTTGAGTGGAGTGGAAGTTGCAGTGAACTATTTGTGAATAGGAAAGCACACCCTTAAGGGAATGTCAAGAATGATTTTTCATCATCTTTCTTATTCGGAGATAATATCAGTGACAGGAATGGCTGTCTGCGTCAGAGGCTGAAGCTCAAACAACAGAGTATGAGCAGCATGTCTGTCTATGTTGCCTGCACACAAACCAACCCCCTCATTTAGTAGCTGGGACGGCCTTTTGTTGAGCTGGTGCTATCTGTGATTCAGCCCTCCCGTCAAACCATCTGCTCATGGCCTCAAGAGGCGGCCCCTTCTTCCAAGCTGCTTTGGGCTGGAGAGTCCCTATTCCCCATCATCTGCCCACAGCTGGGAGCCCTTAAAATGTGGACTTGACTAGATGTCCTGGTTGCCCTAGGGCACCATGGGCCTGTGGACAAGCAGCAGGCATCCATTGGCTGCGTCCCAAAGCTAACTTGTTGGCCACTCTCATGCCCTCCCTGACACACACCAGATATGCTACACCACACACACACACACACACACACACTGAAACAAAACACCATGCACACACACTTCCCCTCCCCAGTGAGTGGGCACAGTGACAGCCGCCCTCCAGAAGCTTACCTGCAGCCACACATCCTCCTATCTCCCGTCTGAAGTCAGGAGATAATGTTAGTCTAAGTCACCAACCCACACTGCAAACCCCAGCCTGAGAGACAGGGCAGAACAGTGATTAAGAGTCTCTAACCCCAGCTCTAGGAATTACAACTTATGTAACTAAACAAGTTTCTGAAATGCTCTTGTGTTCTTTTATCTTATCTGGAAAATGAGGATAACAATAGGATTATTGTTGTGACGATGTAGTAAAATGTGCTTAGCACTTTGCTTGGTATGTGTCTCTCCAAGTTCCAATGCATACGTAGGAACACACAGCTCCTGCTGCCACAGGACATCTCCAAGGTAGGGCCATGCTACCTGCCATCTTAACAGGCCATAGTTCGTAAGGCTAATACTTCCAGCAGCCCAAATTATCAATAAAATACTTCCTCTGTGTATGCACTTGGGATTCAACAGTGAACAAAGATCCTTAAGAGCTTATAGTCCAGAGGAAGAAACAAGCTCAGAGACAAAACCCTAGTCATGAATTGTGATAAGTTCTAGGAAGAAGGGGGGAGCTGTGAGAAGGAATACAGAGTGAGCAGTGAGGATGGGAGTACCATTTTATCAGCGAATCAGATAAGACCGCTAAGAGAAAGACATGTAATGTGTAGGAGCTCCATCTCCTGCACATAAATGCTCCCCTAGCCAGGGGTGGCACTGATGGCAGGATGGGTTCTCAGGGTGGAAGATAAAGAGCTCTCACAATAGTACACCAGGCCTTACCTCCTCACTTCCTGAGGGACAATCTGTTCTGTGATCATAACCTTCTCCAGAATGTTACAGGGTTTCAAAGGCCTGTCTTTCACCTTTCTCCCCCTCACATTCTACATTTTCTCATCAAGTATCTGGTGACATAGCACTAGGCAAAGTAGCACTGGGCTTTAATGACCATATTTTCCCATTATCCTGGAATATAGGCTATTTAATATTGAAGCTCAAGGTAACTTTCTCCTAGATCCACTCACTGTGTTCCATTCTGTAGGTTTACTCTCTTGTCCAGCTTACTCTCGGTGATATCACTGTTTTAAGGATTGCCTTTGTTCTAGCCGTGATGAACAAAATAGAAACAGAGGCAGGGATACGTGGAACAGACTGACAGCTGTTAGAGGGGAGGGGGAATGGGGTACTAGATGAAAGGTGAAGGGATTAAGCAAATATCTATATCTATATCTATATCTATATATAGTGATATCCAGAGAGGGGGGGCTAGGTGGAAGTGGGCAAAGAGAGGGAAAATGGGGATGGAAAGAGACTGCTGGGGGAGATGGGCACACGATGCAGTGTGTAGATTGTTTTATTGAGTTGTACACTTGAAACCTGCATGGTTTTGTGAACCAATGTCACTCCAATAAATTCAATAAATAAATAACCCAATATTTTGAAGTTTAAATGCAAGTGGCCGCTTAGGAGATCTCAGACTACGTATATAGTCCATATATAAAGAGAGAGAAAGATCCCAGGTGAGGTCATTGCCAGAATCCCAGCAGCTCTCTGTTTCTTGTGTTTGATGACAGACCCGTGTGCTGTGGAATGTTGCTAGAGCACAGCATACATGGTACATTTTCAACGTTCTTCATGTGCTTTCTTGCTCACTTCCATTTTTCTACTTGATTCCCAATATGTTGCCGGAGTAATTTGGTGCCACTAAGTGTTTTTGACCGAAGCTTTGTGCAGGTAATAGCTTCCCTCCCCACCATCCTTTAGTCCACTTGCTCGTGGTTCTACTGCACTTGAAATTATTTCCAGTCTCTACTCCTGGACACTTCTGACCTCTCTGTAGCTTGTCACCAATGCCTTCGTGAATCTTTAGAGATCATTCATTTGCACACTTGTTCGGTGCTTAATGAGCACCTATTATGTGTAAGCCCTGAGCTATGAAAATACAAAAATGACTGACATATTGCTTGTTATTATTCATGAATCCTTAGAGATCATTCACTTGCACACTTATTCGGTGCTTAATGAGCACCTATTATGTGTAAGCCCCTGAGCTATGGAAATACAAAAATGACTGACATATTGCTTGTTATTATTCTGCAGCTGCAAGGATCTCATAGTCTCTGGTAGGAGCATACAGGTAAACAGACAAGAACAAGTCACTACGTTAGGTACTATGAATTGACATGTGGACAAAATAGTATGGAAATAAAAAGGAGGGACTCAGCGAGCCTTGACAGCTTAATAAGTATGGCACAGAACAATGGTATCCTAGCTGTATCTGAGCACCTGAAAGGGGCTGCAAGGGTTTTCTCAATAGGTGAACAGCTCATGCAAATGTGTGGGGTCTGAGGAGCTCAGAGGTTGGCTGGAGACTCAGCAATGGCTCCCACTGATTGGATTGCAGCACATGGGGGCAGTGGGGAAAAATCAGGGACAAGGACTAGAGGAGTCTGGTAAAAGTTACTTAGCAGCAAAATGTAGGTCAACTGAACAGACAAAAGAAAGATGACTGTAATTGATTGTAAAACATTAAATAAACAAAACTCACAAGCCCAGAGTGACAGCAAACAGACAAGAAGAAAAACATGTCCTTATTGGAGACCATTAGTGATGATTATTCCACCAACTTCTGATGCTGACAATTGGTAATTAGAGAGACAAGCTAAGCATTTATACTACTTCTTCAGAAGGAAGTATAGTTCATGGCCAGATGATGAGGGTGAGGTCTTTCTTATTGGAGAATACCAGCTAAAATGTGTAAAAGAAATGCCAAGATTAGAAAATCACTGTTTTTGTAACCCACAGTGAAATAACTGAATCGGATCTCAGACTTCCGGCCTCCAAAACTAAGGAAATACATTTCTATTGTTAAGCTACCCATCCTGTGGTACAAACTAAAACACATTTGGCCCACTTCACAAATTACCAGCCTCGCCCTGAGGCATCAGAATCTAAAATGCTTATATTCGTGTATTCATTCAACATTTGAGCCCCTACTATGGCCTGAACACTGCACATTTGTTGATTCAAGTTCTTCATCATACAACCCAATTGTATTCTCTTCTCATTTAACAACGCACTTCTAATTTTTCCAACCATTTTCTGCAGGACAGCTTTATGTGGCATTTGGTTATCTGATGCTGCTGCTCCTGATTAAAGGGAAATTATCCTTATAATGGATCTGTTATGAACAGCATCCTTCTCAACTCTAGCTAGACATGTTTTAAAAATTCCTGAACCTGGACCAACCCTCCTCCCCAGCCCCCAAGTCTGATTTAGTTGGTATTTGGTGGAACTCCAGCAGTATAGTTCTTTAAGCTTCCCAGATAATTCTAATGTGCAACCAAGGTTGAGCACTGTTATTCTAGTCTGAAAGGGCCTTGAAGGTCGCCTTCTTTCCCACATAGTTCACAAACTATCAGCACTGGCATCACCTGGAAGTTTGTTAGAAACGCAGAATCTCAGGTTCCAATCGACTACTGAATCAAAATTCAGTATTTTAATAGAATTCCCCACACAATTAAGATGAACTAAAAAATCTGAGAAGCACTATATTTCCACTAGAGTCGCCCAGAAAGCTTGTGGAAAACAAGATTACCTGGCTTCTTGCCAGAATCACAGAATCTCAATCTCTGATAAGAGCATGAGAATTAAAATTTTATATATTCTTATATAGGTCACACAAGGACCTGAGGCTTGGGAATCATTCGTCTAGGCCAGCCGTGGGCAAACTACGGCCCGCGGGCCGGATCCGGCCCGTTTGAAATGAATAAAACTAAAAAAAAAAAAAGACCGTATCCTTTTATGTAATGATGTTTACTTTGAATTTATATTAGTTCACACAAACACTCCATCCATGCTTTTGTTCCGGCCCTCCGGTCCAGTTTAAGAACCCATTGTGGCCCTCGAGTCAAAAAGTTTGCCCACCCCTGGTCTAGGCCAATGTATATGTCCCCTCAACTACCCAGCCTCCGAGTCTTTTTTGAAAATAAAAAATATAACAGAGATATAGGTTTTTATTTTTCCATCATGCATGCAAGTTTATAACTATTTATACTGTCTAGGAACAAAGAAATAATTGCATTATTACCAGGGTGTCAAATTAGCAAGTAAGACAGCCAGTTACTGATTGCTGTTGGGAGGTTATTTTCACAGAACACAGCAACAGTTTCCAAATTATACTTCCAAGACTGGAGTTATGAGACCAGGTCAAGATGATAACAATTCTAACAGTTACACGAGTCTCCGTCTTACACAGGAAAGAAAGACTAATATTCTGGTGACAGGTGTCAAGTAAGCACCACATCCTATCAGTTTCTGAAAGAGTTTGAACAGAACAGTCCCTGTCTCCTTTTGTGGATGCAGGGGAAAGGGAGCATCCCCTTCATCTCTTTTTGAGATTTCTTGTTAATTCTGAAGACCTGCAATTCTAAGGCCTATCTCTGGAACTTCATTAGTAGACATTAAGAGCAAAAAGCAGGCCTGATGTGTACCCCACCACTATCACCACCAACTCCCTCCCAACCTCCCAAAGTAGTCACAGTTGAATTGCACAGTGTCTTGGACTTCTGATAAACAATACAGGCAGGAAGAGGGAGACACAGATGAAAACAGATTGGTCATAAGTTAATAATTAATGTAGCTAGGTGATAGGTGCAGAGGGTCCATGGACCACCTTCTTAACTTCTGTGCATGTCTGAAAATGTCCATAATAAAGAGCAGAAAGTTTAAAAGAAATAAAAAGCAGACCTATACGGCTCTATTTTCCCATTAGGCAAAAATGAGGACCATGGTGAGATTTTACTTTGAGGCAAAATAAGCAGCATATAGCATTAATCTTCCACGTACATGAGGCTACACCTAGAACAAAAAAGAAAGCATCCAAAGTAACATCTTTCTGTTTTTGTTTTCCTCTTACAAAATGTACTAATGTTGAAATAAAGACTGGATAAAACTTGGGGCATATCCTCGCCTGTAGTGGATGCATCCTGTTACCATGTATTTGCCAGCAATCGCTTTAATTCTACCATCCCCACCCTTGGGAAAGTCCCTCCATGTCCCCTCCATCCTGAGAGGTAGGCATATTCTCCCTGAGCTTTCTTAAGCCATTTCGACCTACTTTTCCAGGCCCATTCCATACAAGACTCATTCCTTTACTGTATTTTTGCTCCAGCTCCCCTGCCTAGCATACCCTCTCTACAACTCTAAGTCAAGGCCTCCACAGCCCTCACAGAACTCAGAATGAGGTCTTCCATAAGGAAAGGGAAGTGAGGGGGAGGGTAAGTATAGACACAGTCCTATCTCCCCACCCTTAAGGACGAGAGGGGGGAAGAGAACACAGAGAAGCCTGGGCACAGAGGGCCCCGCTCAGCTTTTACACCCAGCGGAAATCAGTCTTGGAGGCCCAGGACAGAGTCTGCCCACCCCCGTCTCCATACCCCAAGAGAGAGTCTTGGGATTCCCCTACACTGGAGACTGAAGCCTATTTCTATGGGTAGTCAAAGGTAGTGGCAAAGAAGGAAAAGCAAGTAAGAAAATGTGGAGGTGTGAAATGAAGTAGACACAGGCTCACATAGCAGAAATACCTTTTCCCCAGCAATCCCACTATAGCATTCTGGTCACATGTGATACACTGAATGTTACATAGAGTTGAAAAAGGTACCTAGATTCTATGAGTCCAGTCCCCACCCTCATTTGGAGCCATAGCATAATGGCAGCAAGCATGTGTCCACACATACCAGCCCACCCATCAGTCTGACAGCCAAACAGGGTTCTTGGAAGGCCCCAGCCGTGGAAGGTAGGCGTGTGTCTCAGGCACTGGCAGGGGGGCTGCGTCCACAGGGAGTTCTTGAGGTCCTTGTTGAACGGGAAGCCAATCAGGGCCGATAACAACCTAGACAAAATTCAATGGCCTGCCATGAATGAGGCGCGGCGCAGAGCTTGATGAATGTTCACCAGGGGAAGGGCCCAGGGGCAGGAGGAGACACACACTGGAATGGAACACAAGCCATACTGCTTCTCACCCTTAACCTCATCCGTGCCCAGCAGTCAAGGGCCAGTGCGCTGCACATCCTGCAGGATAGCATGGACCCTTGTCCAAAGCCAGAGATCCTGTGGGTGGTGCCTGGGCCAGTGACTCCAGGGACATTGAACAATCAGTTCTGGCTGATGGCCAGTACCGTGTGCACTAGCTTCCTTTCCTAGTAGCAATCTTGCCATCTATGGTATGCATGGCCACCATGAATACAAAGCCCGCTACCGTCAAAGGCTCTGAAGGAGCAGAGCTTAAGGGTGCACTGGTCCTCGTGGAGAATGCCTCGTGAATGTCCATGTTAAAGACGGGCAGGAAAGGCCAGAGCCAAGAACAGGGCGCAGGCACATAGATAAAGGCAGCACACGTCTGAAGCATGTGTGCCTCACAGATAAAAAACAGGCGTGAGATCATATAACCTGTGACACTAACGTAAAAAAAGCAAGGCCACGGGGAGGCAAAAGAACACGATCCTCAGTGCCATATTCTTGTCACTGGAGTTCCAAGGGAAAAGAGTGCACAGAGGCCGACAGGGAGAGAAGGCAGACAGCCCCACACCTGTGGTCCAGCAGGAGGTAGTAGGGAGACTTGTGCAGATTACTTGGGCTTCTTGGCCCCAGGCTCGGGGGTCTCCACCGGCTGCTTCGCGGCGCCTGGCCTGCCCTCCTTTCCTTTCTCGGCTCGGGCCCCTTCACTCATAAGGTAGTACTGCAGGGGATTGGGCCACAGCTCCTCATTGATAATCTCAACAATCTTGTCAGACTCAATAGAGGTGTGGTTTGAAAACCACCCGAAGAAGCTAGGGCTGTTGTCTGGGCTCCCCTGGCTTAGGGACTGGAGATCGTGTCCTGGGAGCCACTGGATTGGAGTCGAACGAGACACCACCTGGCCTGAAGGGCCACACCCATATTCCTTGATGAGCACCTTGTTTTGGAAATAGGGGTTGCGCTCGAAGTAGAACTTGATTTTGTAGCCCAGCCTGGCGAGGCCAAGCTCTTCCACCTCCAGGCTGTTCAAGTAGCTGAGCACTTCTTTATCTTTGCTGTTCAGGAAGGATGAGAGCTGGGGGTGGTTCTGCAAAGCCTGCCCCCAGAAGCCCGGGACGCTCTGGATGAGGAGGTTCCTGCGCTCTAAGTGGTGCAGCCGCAACTGCCCAAACTTGCGCGAGAGGCGAAGGTAGGCCCTGTCGGCCTGGGCGTTCATGGTCTCCAGCTTCTGCTGGACCGTCTCCAGCGTATCCATGCTGCCATCCGTCGCCGGGGTCCCTGCCCCTGCATCCTTCTCCGCCTTCTGTTCCTCTTCCTCTGGGACAGACGCACCCTCCCCAGCGGGGTCCCTCTTGGGCTTCCCCCCTGGGGCCTTCTTCCCAGCGTGCCCACGCAGATTTCGAACGCGGGGGCCGTTTCTCAGCCTCCCCACGGTTCCCACGGTTCCGACGAAGACAGTGTCCGCCGCCAGGCGCTCCGAGAGGGACGTGGCCTTCCCCAGGCCGAGCCTGGACGCAGCCTGC